AGAAACAAAATCATCCTTAAACTTACAATCATGTTAATAAGCATTGTTAGCATCTTGGTGACTATTCTTCCAAACTTCCTTTTACACACACATATATATGTTCCCTTTCTTATAACAAAAGATACACACACACACACACACACACACATATAAAAAGATAAACACATATTCTGGTGAAACTGATTTCATGAACCTAATATGTCTTTTCATAAAGATGCTCATTCTTCATTGCATGACCAGCAGATGAGGCTGTGTGGAGGGGGTGGGCAATGCTCAAGGGGAGACAACATCCAATCACGATCTATGCCTTTAATAAACACAGGAAGTATTGTTGGAGGATGGATGGTTGACATAATACAATTAGAAACATATTTTATTTGGGGACAGAGACAGGTATTCTCTGATTGGTGGATCTCTGGAAATAAACACAACTTGTGTCATGAGTATACCCTGCTAGATGAAGGCATCTTCTAAAAAGCCAGGCACAAAGAATTTTCAGACAAAAAGACATGGCAAGCAACTATCAAAACACATTGCCTTGCTGAATATTGTCAGCTATCTGATTCTTCAAACACCTAGCTTCCTCCTTGCATCACAGGGATGTTGAAGGATGCTTAAATTCTGACACAGTAAGTGTTATCCATGTTAGTATTTTGAACATCGCATTAGAAAACTTCAGCATTCTCTTGGCTTCCCTCCCTACTGAATCTACAAGGTTTCACACTGTTTGCTTTTCCTGTTTCATGGTTGAAATATCTGGGATAGACACTTGCCAGATTTAGCAAATAAAATAACAGAATTTTGAGTTGAATTTTAATCTCAGGTAAATAATAATATATTTTGAATTTAAGTATGTGCATCCATTCAGGACAAATTTATCCTAAAAAAACTGTCTGTTATTTCTCTAAATTTGAATTTAAATGAGTGTTCCACATTTTATCTGATGACACTGTTTGGGTAATGTCCTATTTCAAGAGAAATGTTGTTACACAACTGTAATTTCTTAATTAGAAGTGAAAACACTTAAGCTAACCTAGAAACAATGTGGATTTTCATTACTAACATATTTCTGTGTTTCAGAAGTGTTTCTCCTGAAGAAAATGAAAATGACTGTCTGATGTAACACCAGCTACTTGACGAAGACTATAGGTAAAGAATGCAACCTTCATTTTAGATCACAGTGGCTATAGTCTTCTGCTTGCTTCTTTCTTCCTTTTCATAACTGACCATGGGGAAAGCACTGGCTATTTGGATGTATAGGAATTTCCTTGATCTTTCCAACACTGGTTATGATTCTCAGGTAATAATCCAAATATGTGCTCAGATTGCTACCTATCAAATTTGTGCACACAGTGGTTGTATAAAGCCATATTCTGAAGGGAGTTGATGCTCTAACAGGCAGCAGTCCTTAGACACAGAGGCCAGCACTTTTAATTGATAATGAGCAGGCAGAGGACGGAAGCTCCTCTGCTTCCCTCTGCCCCAGGCAGAGAAATGGGAGCTCTGAGATCTAGGGGAAGAATTGGAATAATTTACTCAATTTGTTTTCCTGGAAACCAAGACTTTATGTCAAGAATTTGTAATAAAACTAACTGAGGCACTCACACTCGGCTCCATAAAATGCTTAATCACATTGTTCTGTAACAGCTTTTCTCTTTATGGGAGAATTTACCAGCTTTTTAATCTCCTTTATTTGATTAACATCAGAATCAACAACTGCAGCCCGTGTTGGGTTCTGGTAACTATTGTATAGTATTTGCAAACTTATTAAGGAAGATAGACTTTTTTTTAAGGCTTCAACTATAACAGTATCAAGCTTTAAGTACCAGATGATACTTTACAAGTTTTTCTATTAAGAAAAAAAATTAAAAGTCAGAATATATAGGTAAACACTACAGTAAGTATTCATCATTGCTCCATGACAAATTTATTGTGGTAAATACAATATTAGAGATTTTTTTCTGAGTTTTTTTTTTAATGTTTTTTTTCCTCTTACAACAATTGATTTTTTTAATGAATAATAAATGACCTAATGATGTTCTGTTCCACATGACAGTAGTTTGAATCTATTTATAAGAAGTAATCAGCACTCTTGGATGGGAGGAAGCCCTTTAGATTCTATCAAAAGTCCAGTAAGGAGGCTCCTAGTCACAGGCAGTTAAGCAATGACATTTTCTGAAAACACCTGATGGATTCTGAATTTAATTTAGTGCTTGGGACACTAAATCCCAACCGGCCCCGGCCCCATTGTCACTTGATTCTCTCCATCTTAATGCCATCTCCACTCACCTACTTTTAAAAAATTTATTTCTCCTAAACATCTTATTTTTTCCTGCTTTGATGTACAGGGAGTTTCGAAACATAAATGTGGAACCATAAGGGTGTGCATCAAAATAAAGGAAGGGGGGAATAAGGGCACATCTGATACATTTTTTGTTAAGATAGTCTTATTCTGAAATTATATTCTTCCTTTTATTTTCTGCCTATTGTTCTGATGTCAAATTATCCTTGCTCTTATAAAATAGTGACAGCAATTATTTTTGTTTTGCTTTGTACTGTTTATGTCCTTAATTCAGAAAATAAATATTCCTCACCCCATTGGTCATCTCACATTTATATACTAGTGTGTACATTATTACATGCATGTTTAAGTTCAATGATCTATGAAATCCAAAACATTTAGAAGATATGATGCACTCATTTACTATCTCAAGAGAGAGTATATTAGTTTGCTAGGTTGCCAGAACAAAACACTACAGACTAAGCGGCTTATACAGCAGAAATATTTTTTCTTAGTTCTAGAGGCTGGAAGTCCAAGATCAAGATGTCAGCAGGTTTGGCTTCTTCAAAGGTTTCTCCTTGGATTGCAGGTGGCCACTTTTTTGTTGTGTCCTGTACATACATCCTTGATATCTCTCTGCACACCCCTGGTGTCTAACTGCATGTCTAATGTTCTCTTTCTATAGGGATACAATTTAGACTGGGTTAGGGTCGACTCTAACACACCTATTTTAATATAACCACTTCTGTAAAGGTCTTGTCTCCAAATATATTGTGAAGTATCAGGGTTTAGGATTTCAACATATGAATTTGACAAGAACACAATTCAGCCCATGGCTTTCTCCAGTCTAGGAGACAAGATGGTACAAAGGAAACAACATAAGGGTCCAAAATCACACCGACAGGATGTACATCTGGGTTCTGACCATTCCTTGCCTTGTAACTCTGAGCAGAAACTAAACTCTCTGAGACTGAGCTTCTTTTTCCATATAACTTGAATGAAAGCTACATTACCATTACCAGAAGGTTAAAGCTCCTAACATAATAAATGATACACAATGAATGCTCAAAGAATGCTTGTTGTCAGCTCTTCTCTGACTCTGTCTACCTTTACTCATCACACACAGAATCAAATAAAAAATGCTCAACATACATAAATTGGCACTAGCAAGTGTTTGAATTTAAAATATTAAGTGAGGGAAGCATTGGAATAGAGATTAGTATGAAACTGCTGTGTTGGGTTGGGTTAACTCAGGAAGCCTGTCTCTAAGAATTTTTAAAGACATGTGTAGCACACTGAGAATTAAGGAGTTTTAGAAGGGGAAGGATTATTGGAAAGCATCTAATCCTACAGTCTATAAACCAGAGAACATGTTCTATTAGTGCCCAAGGAATATTTTATGTGGTATATAGACATTAAATAACATGTACTCAGTAAGAGTTATTCCTCTTCCAACTCTTTCAATCCTTCTGATTATGTCCAAAAGAAAGTCTGAATTTGGGCTCAGCTGCCTTTAACATGCCTCCAATACTCAGGAAGAACCCATTTTAACAAAGATCAGGCTGCATAGCCGTTGCATCAGGAGGCAAGCTCATGTAATGATTTAGAATATTGTCTAATTTTCATTGTCTTTTTTCCTATAGTCCATTTACACTGATTTTTAGGAAAATTTAAATTTTAAAAGAAAGTAAACTTAAAACATAAAGGTAATAATATAGGTAGTTAAGGATAAAGCAAGCAATCATTCCAGTGGCCCATCCATGAGTGAAATTTAGGAAAAAGTAATTTAGCCCATCCCTCTTGTAAGGAAATTGGTGAGGAAACTGAGGTTCTGGAAAAGGAAGGTACTCTTCCGAGATCCCATAGCTAACTTTCACTAGGATCTAATACACATCAGACAATTTCCACACTGCTAACCTGAAAAAAATTGCATATAAAATAACCAACAGGGTGTGATGTGAGCTGTTGGAAAGCATTCGTTCAAGAGGCTGGCATGTATTAGGGGAGGCTTAGGGAAGGTAAAGACTTCCACATCTGCTACTGATGCTGGGGACCAAAACTTCTCACCAAATCTAGGGCAATAGCCAGGACACCAAGAAGTCCCGGCACCAGCCCCAAAGGTTGTAGTGGCAAAGATTCCTCATGGTCTCAAGCAAAGATGGCTTGAATCCCAGTTTCTCCACTTGGCAAGAAACTTATAGTGTCTCTCTCAGCTCATCTGTGCTAATGACTCATCTGTAAACATGTATAGAAATGATAATAGCTACCCTTTATGGGGCACTTATCTGCCAAAAACCATTGATAAATTATCTCACTTAACCCTCAAAATAACACCCGAAGACGGTTATTACCATTTCATATGACAGGCAAGGACATTTATACTCTGAATGGTTATGTCACTTACCTGCATCTCTGCAGCTAAACAAGTGATGACGTAGGCGTCAAAACGGAGCCATTTCAGTCTACACCCTGGGTTTAACCCTGGAAATGTCAGCGCCCGCTCTGCCCAATCCACGGCGATTCACTTGGAACCTGGCATCCAGAACCCTCTGTGTGCTTGTGGTAGCGGGGAATTCTTCCCGGCCCCTGCAATCCCAGGATGCGGTAGGCAGAGGAGCTGGCCAATCGGGAGACATCAGGTGGAGGAGCTGGCCAATCATAAAGCCTGGTCTTTCTTCCGCCTCCTGCGTGCCCCACCTAGCGGCCAGAACTTCAGTGACCCTTAAAGCGTTAGCTCCTGTCAGGTCAGGCTCCTGGGCAGGCCCGGGTCTTCTCTGTATGTATTTTCATCCTGTTTGGCAGGGGGAGGACTCCTGAAATTTCCAAGCTGTCTGAGGCTCCATCTTTAGGCTGTATGCCTGCCTTTAGTGGCCTAGCCTTTGGGTCTCCCACCGGCAATCCCGGGGTCTTGAGGGCCCAGCAGCTCCTCCCAGGCGTCAGTTGGGTGAAAGGAGTGGTTGGGTGTGTGGGCCGGGCAGAGACCGGCCTTTTCTTCAGGCCAGGGTCACTCTGAGCCTGTTTAATGGTGTCGCAATCCAGCTTGGGACTGTGAGGACTGCAGACCCTTCCAGGCTACCTTAGGCTCACCCTGGGATGAAAACTGCCACGGTAGTAATGGCTTCTGAGGGGTGAGGAGAGTTTGAGCTGTGTCCTCTGGCCATGGATCAGTGCTTTAGTGGCCTGGGGGTCTGCCTGTGGTTCCCACTTCTCTCAGTTAAGTGCCAGTTAATTGGCCTCTAATTTCTGAGTAACTATGTGGAAACTCCCTGGAAAAGGCTAGACCCAACCCTGGCTATCACCAGTCGGAGCTCGCTAAATCCCTTCCCTCAAACTTACCCTGTGTGGAGAATCAACTTTTATGGGCATTTCTCCAACCATTTAGTCTTACTCTTTTTTATTTTTACTTTGTACCTTTATTCCTCACTTTGAAGGTCTTTACTTCCATAATTCCACCCCCTTCATTACAGCACTTTTAAAAAATACTGTTTACTTTTCCCTCAAACCTGAATCTTTTGGTTTGGCATTCCCAAATAAGATTGTTGACTTTTTTTTTTTTTAAGCATAAAGGTCTTAGAGGTGGATGCAAAGCGTATTTTACTCACTGATGTCTGGAAAATAAAATTACTTTTTTTTTACAGTGGCTCTGAAGTAAAATAGGATAAATTCCTTTTATTTGGGAAAAGGCAGGGGCAAACGTTGATTTAAAGGTTAGTTTGTTTCCATTATTTTAGACAAACATCCTGACCCATAACTGCCCAGCTTTCACACTGCTGGAGCTGTCATGTGCTAATAATTGTAGTTTATTTTTTCAAATCATTTTAAGAGGTTTGAATGGATTAAGCCTGGTTTCTAGTGAACTACAACCTTTCTAAACACAACTGGTTAAAAACATGTAAGTTACTATGTATATATCACATAGTAGCATGTTATTTATATGTTTTAGTTAATAAAACTAAAAATGTCACCAAAACTGAAGTGGCCATTTTGCCTGCCAAGGAATAGTCAACAAATAATAATTAAATCCTATTTCAGGTTTTATTATGTAAAGACATCATAAGGGGGCCCTGTCTTTCAAGAATAATTTAGAGACACTAACGTACATAAACAAAACTACTGTGGAGAAGATCTTACATAATTTCCAAATTGTAGTTTGCAAGTACAGAGATTTTCTGAAAAGGTGGCGTCTTCATTTCCATTGTAAGGGCCCCATCTTGTGGATATGGTTTGATTAAAGAAACCTCATCCTAAGAATTCCAGTTCAAGTCGTTTTCAGGTAGAAAAATATAACAGATATATTCCTATGTTAGAATTCTAACAACTTAGTTTCACAATTATTTCAGTTCTGAAATAACATTTTTTTAGAAATACTGAAAATTATTTTTAAAATGTACATAAGTATTTCTGAGTTATACATTATTCTCTTTTAAAATCAGATGTTTAAGAATAATGTTACTGACCATAAGCAAAAGGTGGAAGCCATAATTAAAAACATTAACACAATTTCGTTGGAGTTGAAGAAAATGAGAGGTAAGTATGGCATCATTAAAATGTTTATGTGGTATTGTTACAAAATAAATGGTAGAGCTAATTTATGCTTCTGTTAGGGTGTATTTTTCCAACTAATTATGGTGTCTCTGTTGAGAAATGTTTGCAATGTGAACTCTATAGATGAAGTAGGTTTGAACATTGATCTGAGAGTTAGCAGACCTGAATCCCTATCCCTGACACTAACAATCTAATTATTTTGTCTAACCTTTCTAAATTTACTTCTCTTCCTTCCTTTAATCACACAATTACACTCTACAAAATTCAGTGTCTCTATCTATGAGTCCTTATTAAGTAAGCCCTTAAGATTCATTCCAAATTAAGAATTATAAGTTTGAGTCTGTGAGTTAAGAGTTCTTCATTTTAAATGGATTCTTACGGCAATAATAGATCTCCTATGTTGGGGAATTCCCTATTTCACCCCTCAACCCATTCTATTTTAAATAGCTCCTCTTCATAGATTAACTGAAATCAGTTCACCTATTCTTTCCCTCTAAGTCCCATTTAACCATGAAAACTACATTGAATATATAGCTATTCTTCTTAGAAGAACTCTTGCATATTTGTAAATAGGCTGTGTCAGTTATGAGACCTTCAGCTGCAGGTAACAAAATACCAACTTATCATAATTTAAGACAATAAAGAATAGCAAGTTCTAAGGAAGGGCAGCCCTAAAGTTAGAGGTTGAAAAAGTTCATCAAAGACAGATTCTTTCCATCTTTCTGCTGTTTTCACTTTATCACTACTCATGGTCATTACTTTAAGAGGTGGCCACATACAGATGCTATCTCTGCCTGTAACTCTCTCTAAACCTTTCTCCAGCTGCCTCTGGGACATCTCCCCTTTCCTTTAATTGGCCACAGCCAAGCAAAATGGACTGACAAGACAATTTGGACCAGTCAGAATTTACTACTGGAGGTGGGGAGGGTAGCACCTCAATTGGAATCAGGTTGTGCCACCAGAAGAGGGCCGTGGTTGTTAGGCACCCAACAGTGAGTGCCTGTTCTGTTTTTTCCACATATTTTCTCCAGAGTAGCATTTCCCAGACATTGATCTGAAAGCCCTGCTGTCTCAAAAAAATTTTTGTTTTGAGACAATGTCTTGCTATGTAGCTCAGGCTGGCCTTGAACTGACAGCGATCCTCTTGCCTCAGCCTCCCAAGTGCTGGGGTAACAGGCATGTGCCACCATGCCTGGCTACAACAGATCTTAATAGATGATACAGGATAAAACACAGTCCATGTTTTTATGGTGAAATAAGCTTGGGTCATTCTATATGCTATGTATTTCTCTCACAGATTCACAATGCATATTAACAAAGGCTCTGAGGAATTTGGTGTAAAGAGATTTGATTAGCTTTGCTTAATTCATCTTCTCTCAAAACGAATCTCAACACTACAGGGAAGATTATCTTTCTAAAATGTAAATCTGTTGAAAACCTTCACTTGGCTTGCTGTTATCTTTGGGATAGAGTCCAAATCTCCTAGAATGGACTAGGCAACCTCCTGAGATCAGACCTTTGCTGACTTTTCCAGTCTCATTATTTTCTCCCTGCATATTCCATGCTCTAGCCTTACTGAGCTATTTATATATCCATGCATGCTCTCTGTTGTGTATGTGCCTTAACACATACATCTTCCGAAATCCCATTGCTACCCTCCACCTCTACCATACTAGGTTGATTGCTGCTTATTTGAGGTCACTTACATCAAAAAAGTTTTTTCGAATTGGCATGTTTTCCCTCTGCCCTACCATATCACACCATGTTGCAATCACGTTTACTTACTTTTTTCTATCCCCGCTTAATTGTAAAATCCTTAAAGGGTATTCATAGTATTTAACACAGTGCCTCAATATAATAGCTTCTTGGGAAATGTTTATTAAATGAAAAAATGGTTCTGGATGCTTGAACTCATTTAAAACCATTAAAGAAGCTTTATATTCCTCCCAGAATTGATCATCTATTTGTTTTACTTTGGGGAATATTCTTTCGTGAAGTAAAATAGAAATACTGAATATGATAGACATGTTCCTGAAAAGTTATGTGGGTAGGTCAGGCAATTAGGATATGAGGGACCTACATAGCTAGGCTAGGAGAATTAATTTCTGGTAGACATACAGGATTAAATGAACATTTATCCCCACTTCCTCCCAAAATAATGTCAGAGGCTTAACACAAAACTTTCCATAATCCAAGCATTCTTCTAAGAGCTCTACATAAATGAATTCACCCTATGAGGTTGGGACTACTATTATTGGCATTTACATACATGAAAATAGAAAGAGGTTAATTTTCTCAAGGTCAACTAATCAGTGGTAGAGCTAATTTTTAAATTTAACTGATTTCAAAGGGACAAAAATCTATAGGGTAGAGAGGTGAAGAACAACAAAACAGAAACAGATAAACAAGTTTGAACCCTGAAGTCCAAAAATGTGACTAAAATAGCTGAATACTGCCAAGAAGTAAGTTTCCATGACTCAGTACATGGTGACACTCGAATCTTCTGGAAATAAGGGTGAAATCTGACCAATAACAAGAAGACTACTTGAATGTTTTTAAGATACTATAAATCCCTGAGATCTTTTGCGCCCTTTGCATAACTAGGTAACTATCCTGCCTCTATAACAGAGGATTCTTGGTTTAAAAAAGGGATCTCTGGCTTATAGCTGCTAGCCACAGTTGAGGGAGAGTACTGTACTAAAAACAAAGATAATGAGACAAAGTTGACACACTAAATTACCAAACCCTCAGCTTTCCTCCTTCATGTAGCCACTAAAACTCTCTTGGCCAGATTTATGCTCTTCAAGCAGACCTTTCTTTCAGGAATCTAACTCACTTAAAAGACTTAAAGACAATGAAAGAGATTCCTTCAACAAAATAACCCAATAAGATCATTCCACAATATAGAATACCATGAGCATAGAACATGCAGTGGTCTTTAGTGCTATGGTCTTAAATATAAGCAAACAATAAGCAAACAACTCTGGCAAACAGATATTTGAGGAAGACATCTAATATGAAAAACAGACAATGCTAATAAATTCAATGAGGGAGAAACAAATGCTAAGGGAGATGAAAATGTCAAAAAAACTACCATTAATACTCCAGAGAAGTAAGAAAAGTTTCTGCATCTATGAAAAAGGAATGGATGCTGTAAAAATTTAGATAACAAAAGAAAATTAACCGTGAAAGTAGAAATGAAAAACTCTACAGAAAGGTTGAAAGGTAAATAAAATCCCCCTAAAGTGTAGAGCAAAATAACAAAGATAAAAAGTGTTAGTGGAGCAAAAATGACAAAATCAGTGAATGAAGTCCAATACCTAATAAATAAAGTATTAGAGAAAATAGAGACAATGGATGAGAAGGAATTCATTGAAGAAATAATCTTAGCAAATTTCCCAGAGCTGAAAGACATGAGTTTCTACGGTGAAAGAGCTCAACACAATGGCTCCAAATAGGAACATACCAAGGCACAGTATTCTGAGATTTCAAAACACTATGAGAACAAAAAGAACAGTTAAGCTTCTGAAAAACAAATAGGAATTGAGAATTAGTATCACATGAAGTTTTTAATAGCAGCACTGGAAGCTAGAAGATAATGCAGCAATGCCTTTAGAAAGCTGAAGAAATATAATTCCCAACCTCAATTTCTAAGGTCAGTCACCCCATTAATTGAACATTAGTATATATAGAGAAAGTTTTAGGCATATCCATCTACCACCTTCCCCTCCCCAGGTTACTGAGGCTATATTCTCCCAAACAAGGAAGCAGACAAAAAGAAAAATACATTGGAATTCTGGAAAAGAGAGAGAGTGAAAGAAGTTCTTAGGATGTTGTGAGGGGAGTTCTCTAGACAGGAGCTACATAGCGGTCCTAGAGAGCAGTCATCCCACAGGAGAGCAAATCAGAAAGTTTCAGAAGAGGGGAGATCTACAAGAATAGCTAAAGTATTGAATATACAAAGAGATTTACTCAACTGGGGGATATTTGGGATATGCTCCTGATAAACAGTGAAAAAAGAAAATAATTTTTAATTGTGGTTGGGGGTAGTTTGCAAGAAGAGACATATCATACTTCTAAGACTCAGGTGAAAGAATATTTATATGATTAAAATTTCAGCATTAAATAGTGAGCTAGCAAAAACTGTCCTCTCACTATATTGAGAGATAAAGAAGTAAGTAAAAGAGCTGTGTTTTAATCTCTTTTTAGTCCCAAAAATTGAAAAAACAATCATGCTGTGTAAAGATACGGAGATAAATACTAGACTGTACTCCCAGAAATAAACACAGTGCAGACACACATGAAACAACAAAAGCAATGTAAACAAAATGAAATGATTTGAAAGTTGAAAATGATTGTCTCTGGGAGATAGGAATTTTTATTTTTGTAACATGCCTCCTAGACCTGAATCTTTACACTACGTACTTTAACTTAGATAAAAACAAGTATAAGACTGTAGAAATAAAATTTGCATAAATGAAGTTGCAATGTAAGAAGATAGCTGACTAGCTGGGTTAAAGAGCTTTTCTTGTTAATTTTTACATCATGCATGTTTTATAGTACATAAATCTGATTTTAGGTCAAAATGGGAACACCTAAGTTGTGATTTGATTTGTAATCATTTGCAAAAAATTAGGAATTACTTAAAACAGTAATAGTTGTTTATGACACATGTGCTACAATATATCTGCTATTGTTTTATTTTACTCAGAGCTCTCCCAGTTACTGCTTTGTGACCTTACTCTACAGTTTAATTGCCCTGTGAAGAGAGAGGACTTAAAGGAAACAGAAGGAAACAACGCCCCATTTGAAAAGTCTGAAATACTAGATGTATCCCTTGCTTCTAACAGTTTTTCTGTTTGATTTATTTTTTAGTTATTATGAGCTTCTGGTAGTTTTTTTATTGTTGAATTAGCAGATATCTGGGAAAATTTAATTTACTAATATACTTAATACAATTAAAAACAGTAAAAATAATATAGAATTGTAAATAAATATTTCATTTTCTTGAAGGCTCTTTTATTGTCTTAATGTTTGAAGAGTGGTTGATTTGTTTCATTAGAGGGAAGAGTATGACATGGAAATTTGGTCATGGGGCATTACTTATCCTTTACTTTATGATTGAATTTGCCTTAAGTTAGCAGAGTTACTAAATTACTAGTAGAGCATATGAGTTTATATTAATCAGAACTCTTCTAGTAGCCAGTGCTGAACCTACCAGCTGATGTATTTATTGGATCATGTGACTTGGAAGTCTGCAATTGGAATAGATTTTATGGACTCCACAAATTCACCTCCTGTTTCCATTAGCTGTGTTTCTGTGTGTTGATCTCATTCTCTCTTGTTATAGACTGGTTTCTTCCACATGGTGGGCAGAAGAAGGTACCATATTGTAAATCAAATATGCGCTTACTACACTTAACCCACCAAACATCATAGGTTAGCCTTGCCTACTTTAAACATACTCTTCTGACTTTAATTAACATTAATCTATAGTAGGGCTAAGTCATCTAACATAAACTCTATAATAAAGTGTTGAATGTCTCATGTACTTTATTGAATGTCTATATTCAAAAAATGCAGCAACATCTAACACTGCAGAATATTGGTTGTTTTCCCCTTCTGATCACATGGCTGACTGAGAGCTGCAATATGCCTGCTCCCTAGCATCATAAGAGTGTCATACCACATATTGCTTGCTCAAGAAAAGATAAAAATTCAAAATACAGTCTCTACTTAATGCATATTGCTTTTATACCATCATAAAATTGAAACACTAAGTCAAGTCATAATCTGGGAACTGTACAAACAATATCAAATAGAAAAGTGTGAGCAAATTTGTCTGTGTATAAACACTGCTCCTTTATCTTTCCAGGAAGTTTTTAGTAAAATCTGCATTACTGGACAATGCTTTGGAGTTGGTTAGGGATGGAGGGTATACAGTGTAGGTATGGGGATGTGATGAAGTGCCAGTTTAAATGCAGGTGTATTTGATACCAAAGCCTCATCTCTAAATTTAAAATATTGTCTTTTGGTATTTGTAGTTTAAATTTGCTTTAACACAAAAATATAATAGTGTGAATTCAACAACAAAGTTGTTTTAAGGATCCAAAAGTGAGACACTTTTAATCTCAGGAAGTTGTTCAAACATGCATTTATTTTGTCATAAAAAAAGTACACAAAAATCCCCCCAGCAAAAATCACCAAATAAGAAAGAATGAAATTATATTTTTGAAGTCTCTGAAATTACTCCTGCTGAGAAAAAGAATTATAGTAATTTTAAAATTATATAAAAATTAATAATTGCCTCTGACAAAGTTTGACTCTAAAATAATCAGTTTTAGATGATACCAAAAACTATTATCATCTAAGTGTTTTCAAACTTGTCCCAATTTATTTCTTTAGCTGTATAAACTATTACACTTTGAAATGGGTATTCAAAAATACATGTCTGCTTTTTAAAATGAAGTACTTCAGTGCATTACTAGACTTCAAATGTGAACATTATTATGCTTGCATTTTACAAACATTAAAGAAGAATAAATAAATTATAGAATATTTGACAGTCTTCATTTCAAACATTGTTTATAAAGGGAAGGACAAAACCCTTGTGTTGATGTTGACAGGTTCATCTCAGTCCATTCACCAAAGTTGGTTGATCTTCCCATGTTGCCAACAGAGGCAAGAGGAAGTTGCATTTGCATGGCTGACTTGCTATGGATACCCTGCAGCATGTGTTAATGTGCACTGGTATCTGGAGCCTCGATTTTTCCCATCAATGAGCAGAAGTGGCATCTTCCTAAAGTAGTCAATAATATCTGACACAGACAAAAAGTCCTGGAAAAGTCAAAGTAGAGAGATAAGTCAACACTGAAATTGATAGCATGAATTTCACTCTCAGATTTAAAAATCTGCATAATGTATCCTATTTCTTCAAGTTATGAGAATTGTGGAGAAAAACAGGTAAAATTTCAGTGATTTTTGCTATCAAAATTTGAAACAATTCCTTGTCAACATTCAACAAATCATGAATAAGTAAGACAAAACATTTTAAACTTGATATGGGGGATCATTTACACTAAATATTCTAATTATAATACCTTCACTTTGAGGTTGCTCTCTGTTTCTGTTTTGGGTTTTGGTCTTCATGTCTCTTCCACCCCAATCATTAAGAGTATTAGGAAGTATAAGGAATTAAGAGGTCAGACATCATTCATGGTGTCTGGAGGTGGTACAGTAGCTATAGCATGTTATAATACTTCCTTCAATATCTCTCTACTATGTTCCCACTGCTACCCCAGGGCTCAGCAGCCATGCCTTTGCATCCATAGCCTGGATCACCCCATCCTTGGTGGCCTGACTAGAAAGAAGCCCATTGATTCTTCTAGATTTGATTAAAAAATAAGGCAAATCTTTAAAGGCTTTAAAATTTTATTACAGTGAAAAACACATCGCCATTAACCCCCCTCAAAATATTCCCTCTTGCTTTGAACACACCCCATCATCCCTCCCACTTTCTGAAACATTTCTGGAAGTCCTCTTTCATGAGTGTCTTTAGTTGTGCTGTCATAGCTGCCTCAATGTTCTGAATCGGCTCAAAACATTTACCTTTCATGCTCATTTTGATATTGAGGAAGAAGTTGCTCAATGCCAGATCCAGTGAATAAGGTGGATGAGGACAAATAATGTTTTCATAAGCCCACCTTGGATGGCAGTCAACCGTGTCACACACTAGATTTTTGATCACATATTATAAAAATACTCACAAAAGAGGATTTCCAGGGCTGCTTTAGAGAGTGGCAAGAATGATGGGATAAATGCTCAGAGGTGAGCGGGAATATTTTGAGGGGGGATAATGACGATGTGTCTTTTACTATAATGAATCTTTTAATTTAAATATTCACTATTTTCAATCATACCTCGGATGGACCAGATGTCACATAGGTACTGCAACCAGGATTATGTACTTTCTCCAAGTCTTATTGTCTAAGTACTGTACCTTCCTTAGGCTGCTACAAGTTGCACTTGGGTATTTCCACACTAGACCAAGAGAAACCTTGGAGGACAGACACCTCTGCCTCTAGAGAGCATAAGTAGCTCTATCCATAGTGAACAATTAATTCAAACATTTTACCAAAATCATAATCTTTTGTATTCATTCATGAGGTCATTACTTAGAAGTATTTGGCTGGAAATGTGAGTTACAGATGAACTGTTTCTCACCCTGAAATGTTTAATTCAGCTGGTCTTCTTGCAACTTTGAATTTATTTTATGATTTTATTTTATTTTATTGAGACAGGATCTCATCATGTAGTTCAGGCTGGCTTTGAACTCACTATGTAGTCCAGGCTGGCCTCAGATTTGTGTCAAACCTCCTGCCTCAGCCTCCCAAGTGCTGGGATTCCAGGTGTGCCCTACCACACCCAGCAGCAACTTTGAATTTAAAGAGCGTGTTTTGTGACATTAAATGTAGTTGTTAGTTTCCTTTGCAAAAAGGAATCCTGAGGGTTTCTTTTACATCAGTTTTGATTACCAACCTCAAAGAGGCACGAGAATCTAAACCTTGGTCCCCAAATTGGAAAATTTCTTTGGCGACTTGCCTATCTTCATAGTGCAAACCTCCATGTTCGGTTAGAGATACAAATAATGGTCAAAATAAGGTTTGGTCAAAACAAGGTTTGGTCAAACCTTCTATCCCAGATAGTCTTAATTTAAAATATAGCCTTGTAAGCATACTGCAGTCTTATATTAAAATTTTCCACAGAAGTCAATAACAGAAGAGATTTGCTTTTGATAATCTAACTGGATTTTTAAAAATTAAATACTGCCTTATTTTATACCTTTGATATTGGCTTATTTGAAATTAAAAAAAAAGGAGAGACTCATGATGCAAGTAGTCATTTATTTCCCTGCAATAAATGGTTTCACTAATATAATTTAACTCTAAAAGTTGCTATACAGCATGGAATCCCAAAGATATTAAATGTGGCTCTATGTAGGTACACAAAGAGGCATAAAAAAGAAAATCGGTGGAAATTTTGAAATTTGAAGCTCTTACCTCTTTCCCTCTGAGTCCAGTTCCCAACAAGTAAACTTGACTTTGCTCCTGATAACGGATCTGGATGTTGTATACTTTATCTTTGTACAATACCATGAGGACATATGGATTGGCTGTTGTTTTCTTAGAGCTGTCTCTAACCAGAAAAGTGCCATCCTAAAAAGGCAAACTCTTGTTATTATAGGAGCATTAAAAGTCAATAGTTTGTTGCCTGTAAGAGCAGCAGACAAGGCCCTAGGGGTCTGCAGAACTTGTCAGTTGAGTTAACTAACATTCCTTCTCCAAACAGTTACAGACCCCAGGTGTTGTGGATCTCTTGATTATCAAGAAAGACAGTAGAAACAATATCAGAGAAATTTCCAAGTCAACCTCTTAGAAGCCTCTTGACAAAAAATGTTTTCCATAATAAAACAAATAATAATAGGTGGTTGAGTGGAAGGGCCAGGAGAAATAGAACTTTATTAACTCGAGATATATCCTCTTACTCCGAGTGAGTTAATCCCTAACTCTTCCCTTCCATATCCACAATCAGAAAACACCTACCTGCCTATGAAATACACTCCTTTTAAAACCTTGTGCTCTTTAGATTTAGCATTTATCCACCACACACCTGAACAAAATCGAATGCAACCTGTCTGTATTCTTGACACCTTTTTTTCCTGATATTTACTGAACTAGTATGATTTCTCCTATATTTTAAATAGTCAATCAATAAATTATTGACAACATAATAATGCAGTACTCCAAAGATCTAATATAAAAATAGAGCTAATTAGGACAACTCAAACTACTCACTCCTTTGAGTTCTGAATCTGGATATCTCTAAAACACCCATCAATCTGCAAGAATGGCCTTCTTTTGTTCTTTTTATTCCAAGTTAGTTGGGTGAGTCAGAATATCTGTTAAACAAACATACTTCTGGACCAGTGATTCACAGGCTTGGCTTGCAATCAGAATCATCTGGGAAGTTTGGACCACTCCTTAGCCCAATCTGATTAAGTCTGAATCTCTTCAGATGAGACACAGGAATCAGGATTTAAAAATAAAAAAAAAAAACTCCCCAGATGATTCAAAGTGTAGCTAAGGTTGAAAACAACTGCTGCACACTTTAGATATGAAAGATGAAGGATCTTTGCTTTCCAGGCTCTGATGAATAGCCTTAAATTTAAGGGTCAGCACTTAGGGAATCTATTTCAAACTTTATAATATTGAAGGACTAGCTAAAAATTTCTATGAGAAAAGGCAAAAAAGCCCCCGTCCATATGGGTCCTTAGGCAGAGATGTGAAAGGCAACTGTGATAAGAAGATGGGACTGGTAAGATGTTCAAAATTTGAGAATCTCCTTTTGACACTACACGATTCCTGTGACAAGACCCATGCTTTCACTAGTGAAATCACCTAAGATTCTGCCAACCAAATGATTGCCTTAATTTAGATTTTTCTGCCAACCAAATGATTCCTAGTCCTAGGAGTCATTGCGAGGGATCCTGGTAGGTGGGAGGCAGACGCTAATGGGTCTCCAAGGATCAGCACTTCACAGTAGAAACAGCACCTAGCAGATTCCCTAGCCCATAATTGGGATTCTATAAGCCAATTCCCTTTGTCTCCTTCCATTAATATTTATAACTACTTAAAAATAAATTATAAACCATACCTGGTTTATCCTTCTAAGAGCAGCTTCTGCCTCTGGTCTGGTAATATAAGAAATATACCACTCTTCATCTAGTGAATTCTGTAAATGTAAATGTTTAAAAACTGAATAAATTTTGCAGTCGCATAGGTAAATAAAAAGCAAAGCCTCCAAGTAATAATTTCCATAAATCACCCCCTTAGTTCCATAAGTTTTTAAATATTTGTTTTCTTAACTTGAATAAAGAATTATTTAGATGGGACTATACAGAAGGTATTTTGTGTGAACTGCTTTTTATCATGACACTGGTTGCAGAGGTAGCTGTAAATAAGTGTTCCATATATGTTCCTTATAAAATGGAACCTCTAATCAGAAAATACACAGGGATAATAATTTCTTCAGTTTAGTATACAATAATAACACATACTTAATAAAAAAGCTGCACTCATGGAGCAGGTGAGTATTTCAAGTTTATAAGCTAGGAAACAGAAGGAAAATAGTATTATTTTTCTTATTGTTTAATGCAAAATGGATACTTGCCATTGGAAGAGTCTGAAAGGGGGAGAAATGTATATCTTTCTTCTGGATCCTCCCTCTAAAATTGTTTTGAGGTGCTGGAGATTGAACTCAGGGCCTCATAAATGATAGGCAAAAGCTCTACCACTGAGCTACACCCTCACCCTCTCCCTTAAAAATGAATAAATAAGTTAATAGAAAACAAGAGTATAGAAGAGCATTCCAGAGCAGTTTCTTATGATCCATTTGCTAGAGAAAAGAGAAAAAAAAAGAAAAATATGCTTTGTTACCTCCTCTTCCCCGTGGGATGGTGGCTGAGGTTTGTTTGGAACTGGCAAAGGAAAGTTTCTGCTTTCGGCTCTGAGAGGTGGTCTGTTGCTAGGGCCTTTAAAAATAGAACATTTTGAAAATTAATTTACTGTAAGCTATTGTTTACTTCTCTCATAATACATCCCAATCCCCAAATTCCCTTGTTCTTGTTCTAGTAAATAACATTTCAAGAAAACTAAGTTTAAAAATAATTTCCACCTGTTCAAAACCAGCAGGGCTGCTCAGGAATTGCTGTATTCTGTAACTATGTCAGTGAAATTCTGGGGGCAGAATCTCAAATTTTAGTGATTTCCAATATAAAGTGACTGGCTCCATTTACAAAAAGTCACAATTATTTTCATGTGACTATCAGGAAGAATATTCAAGAGACAGATCTTTCATGCATTCCTGTAATATCAGTATACACAGAATGGATTCCCAACTGCTGGTGCAGTGGCAATATAGTAATAAAGATAATTATGTTCTCATTTTTTTGTTTGTTTGTTTTTGGTTTTTTTTGTTTGTTTTTG